TTCGCTCAGGGCTCATTTAGACGCTTCTTGTGAGACTTGTGTTTTGTTTTGGTAAAAACTGTTAATATTGCCTGATAGCTGAGTTCCTTCCCGTTAAGAGGGTAAGACACATTCATAGGTTGTTAAATGTTAAGAAGCCTTGAGACCCAGTTTTGTGAAAAAAAGCCCTTAAAGGTGGGGTAGGTCATTTTGGAGAAACCAGCTCGAGTGCGCTAGAATTTGAAAATACACAGCCGGAACAAATCTGCCCCTTCCTTACAGAGCCCCTCCTCCAACACACACGTACACGCACATGACCAATGAGGGCACGAGATAAGTTTGTGCACAGATGGAAGGCTGACAGGCAGGTAGGCCATCCAGTTACTTTAGCCGGGCCGGCTCAGATGATTGGTCGTGCTTTTTACAGTAAACTACTACGGCTTCCAGAGATTAAATTTTTTTATGGATTTTTTGTCAAAGCAAGATATTCATTGCTATCGGGATGTTAAGAGCATTCCATGGAATATAACAAAAAGTGTTTCTGAAATAAATTACATACCCCACCTTTAAGGTAACTTTGCAGCATTCAAATCATGAATAATATTGGAAATTAATCAGCAGTTTACAAGTATATTACCTCCAATGCCTACTAAAATGTGGTTTTCTTAACACATATAATGAGATATAGAGGATACAGAGTAGCTTACTTAGTTTAAATGGACAGATAATGTTGGATCATTTTGATTCGAGATTTGATTTTAATTTGAAAGAAGTTACTGAAAATTCAATTTATTCCTATTTGTTTTAAAAACTAAACTGTATCAGCTCAAATGTTTTTTATTTTTTCAAAGTATTTTTTCTTAGTTGAACTGGACTGGTTAAGATTATTATTGATTCATATCGATTTGAGAGTTTCTTTTAATTTGAAGTTTTTGCACACTTAAACTGAGATTTAATCCTTTTTGTTTATTAAAGATATAAAACGGTCCCTGCTCAAATGTTGTCCAAGTGTTTTTAGCGTATGCCTGTGCGTAAAAATAAAATATCAGCTCGTCTATCGGGCGTGGCAGGCTGGCTCCTCTGAGGGGGTGGTGGGGGTCTGTAGCTGTAGTGTGCTGCGGGGCTTCTGGATGCACCGTGATGGATGAGGAGTGACAGATCGAGGTTAGCTGCCGGGGGAGTCCATTTTCTTCCACGGTCCTACTCGAGAAGCAAGCAGAGGAGGTGAGAGGGACGAGAAAACAGACCGATCCCCCCCCCATTCTCTCTCTCTCTCTCTCTCTCTCTCTCTCTCTCTCTCTCTCTCTCTCTCCACTCCCGTGCATCACAACCTAGTGGGCTTTACCCAGACTGCACCGCATTGCCGCTGCTCTGCTGCTGCCAGAGGACCCAACCCACCAAACTAACGCGCTAACACACAGAGAGAGAGAGAGGATCGGTGCTTTCAGATGCTTCTACCCGCATCTGGAAACTGGATGCTGTGCAGATTTTGCGGTAGTATTTATAATATGCAGCATTTCCCTCCCCACCTCCTCTCCTTCTCTCTGGATCTGGGCTCTGATTCGCTGTCCTGCTCCCTAATGCCAACACTTTGGAGACTGGAGTGACTCCGGGAGTGATTTTGGAGATCATACTGCTGCATAGTCCCAGAAAGACAAGGATACAAGTTGGTGATGAATGGAGCTGTTTACTTGAGAACTCCATACAGGCTGTTTCCAACATGGGTGTTGACTGACTGGAGCACGGAGGTATGAATTTGCACTTGTGAGGATTAAATCTACGCTCAATAATTCCCGGACCATGCAGATTCTGCCGCCTTGGACGTTATTTGTGTTACTAGCCCATGCGCATGTTTTACTATCCCTGAGAAATAATGAAGAAGTTAAAGAGGACAGAAAAGCCGGCGCACACTCTGCACGGACTTTCCATGGGTCACCCCGGGAGAGTCACCACAAAAAAGCCTGGGAGCGTGCGCTCTCGCCGGGGTACGCCACAGGTGCGTCCTCGGAGGCTCAGCGGGCGATTATCCGAGGGCCCCTGAACTCCACTCACCCATGGAAGAGGGTAATTGCTGGGGAGACAAGGCGACACAACAAACGCGACTTCATTAGGACTGTGACCCCCGGGGAGGATCCCCACGCTGCCTCACATTGGGACCCGACGCGCCACCACAATAGGAGGATAAAGTTGAATGGTAGTACGGGGACGCCAGCAGGTGGACACTACAATGCCGCTAAGCCCTCTTCAATGGGTGGAGAAGGGGGGCTCGATGATAGCGACAGGCACAGGAGGGGCACAAAAGATGAACACAAGAAAGGCTCCAAGAGGGGGAGAGCCCGGCTGAACAAAAGCGTGGGGGTTTTGGCTCAGTCTTGGGAACCCATCCCCAAACCTCTGGCCCTCACCTCCACCGACTTGCCCTTTGACCTCTTCACCAGGAGGCCAGAGTTCATCACTTTCAGGGAGGAGAACCCCTGGGACGCCACGCCAATCACCCCTCCAAGCTCGCAGGACTTTGGGGATGAGATCAAGAACCCCTTCTACCCGGTGACCAGCGAGACCTACGGAGCGTACGCCATCACCTGCGTCTCCGGGGTCATCTTCCTGGTGGGCATAGCGGGGAACATTGCCATCTTGTGCATCGTGTGCCAGAATTACTACATGAAGAGCATCTCCAACTCCCTGCTGGCCAACCTGGCAGTGTGGGACTTTGTGCTCATCTTCTTCTGCCTGCCCATGGTGGTGTTTCATGAACTCACCAAGTCCTGGCTGCTGGGGGAGTTCACCTGCAAAGTGGTGCCCTATGTGGAGGTAAATGTTTTCTTCTTTTCCTTCGTTTAATTCCATCCCATTGCTTCCTGCAGGATGACTTGGGGCTGAACCAGTGTTATGTACACTGAATTATCACACCTATTTAGTGACAATACACTTCATCTGTGGCTTCGGGGTATGAGAAAGAAGCTTCACGCTGTCGCCTGAGTAAAGGGAATGATAGAGTTGAGTTTCAAGAAAGAACAGAGACATATAGGATATCTTTTCAGCCAATTACTTTTGACACCTGTACACCTGCCGCTGGACAGAGAGCCTCACCTAGCCCTCAGGCCTGCACACACACACACACACACACACACACACACACACACACACACACACACACACACACATAAATAAATACACACCAGGATAAAGCCCACTATCTCCCATTCACTAAGTAAAATATGTTATAGTTCCCTCTCTTACACACACTTTCAGCCTCTTAAATGTTTGCCATGAGGAGCGGACGGATGCTAGACAGGTTGTTTACACCCTGGTGATCCCTTTGTGTGCGCACTGCAATTACTCCAGTGTCAGATTCACCTTTGTATAACACAGGGGATTCCAGCTCGGGGTCTTTAGCTTGTTTTGAAAGGACTATTGTCCCAGCCCGGCTGAAGGAGGGACATAAAGATAAGACAACACAGCACATGTGATTTTAATCCAGATATGTTATAAAGGGGAAACACCCCAGGTACAGTAGGAAGGATATTTTTCAAGTGTTCAAAATGGTATTTTAGGATGCAAATATTCTCATTTTAATCTGAACATTGGCTAGGTTCCATATTCTTGTTTTGTATTGTTGACCTTGTAAAGTCAAAGTCATTGAGAGTTTTAGATATATCTTCCAATTCATCCATAAGGAAATACCGCTGGAAAAACGGCTTTGCTATACAGGTATAAAATGTTATATAAATCAGGCTGTAGAATTAGAAGAATTAGAATTGGGATGGTCACACATGCAGAGCACACGGCACACGTAGTGAGATGTGTTTTCTGCTTTTAACCCATCCTAGTACCAGGAGCAGTGGGCAGCTATTGTACAGCGCCCGGGGAGCAATGGGAGTGAGGGGTGTCCGGTGCCTTGCTCAAGGGCACCATGGCAGGGCAGGGGGTGAACTGGGACCTCTCCAAGTAGCAGTCCACACTCCATATTTTAGGTCTGGTCGGGGACTTGAACCGGTGACCCTACAGCTCCCAGTCCAAGCCCCTACTGACTGAGCCACTGCTGTAAATGGTATATTGACAAAGCCCTTGGCAAGAACACTCTGAATATAGATAGGAATACAAAGTGTGGAAGTGCTACTGAAGTGGAGATTTCTGGGTAACAGAACGAGAAACACCTCAAAACAGCCTCTAAAGTTATGTATTTCAAAATCCCAAATTGCAGGACTCAACAGGAGCATCTAGTCACAAATAATGAAACTAATAGATATCATCATCAAACTTCAGTTTAATACATACATTAAGATTAGAAGTTTTCTGAAAATGATCTAATGCTTACTTTTGGTGTATTCAAGAGACATCTAGAGAAGCAAATTATAGTTAAAAAATCTCATTGCTTATGTTTTCTTTCCACTCATCTGAAAGAAGACAGTAGCAGAATTGCCAAAATCTCAAGTTGCATGTGTTGCCTCGCCCTAACGTCTAATGAACACGGCTTGAGTTGCATGTAAGTGAGAGCTTTGCTATGCAGTGCAGCAAAAACAGGACAGCGAATGTAATCAAAGAAAAAGGCTGGATGTCAGGCAGTCTGACACTCTCCAGCTTCTAAAACCAGGCGGTGAGCCAGGACTGGCGACAGAATGAGACCCAGGTTCCGCCCCCTGGAGACACAGCCTGCAGACA